CAGAAATGCGCATAGGTCATATTCGAATGTTACTTGTACCAGATATGGTTTCACTTCAAAAGAGAATCATTACGAAAATCCAAAAAATGACTGTTGTACTACTCCTAGTTCAAGCTCAGATTCAAGCGCCGATTCATCTGATGATCTTGACTGTCAAAAAAAGATACATCGTGTTCCAGTCAAAAAACGGTTTCCGCGGCAGATAAATTTTGACACCCAGATTCTTGGTGAATTTTTTTTCTCTTTATCTTGAACGGCATTTAATCAGAGATTGATTTGGTCTGCTGTTATCCTGAATCTAGGGTTCTTTTCTAAAAACTGGTCTAGAAAAGTTTAAAGAAAAGTAATAACTAGCTCTTTACATCCTAAAAATGTGTGATGATTGCTGAATCTTCTTTATCGGAAAACCTTTATCAGTTCGTCATCAACACTGGAATAAGTAAGTAATGAACTATTTTTTTTATTCTAAGAACTTATGAGTATTGTTATCATGCTGGTTTTTAGAGCTGAAGTTTGGCTATGGAATTTTTCTTAGCACTTTTTTGTTGTTGTTAAGTTTTCAATGCGAAGGAAGCATTAATTGAGCAGTACGCTAATAAAAATTTTTAAAAAAATATTCTGAAAGAGTTTCATAATTCTTTTTTAGTTTCATTATCTTTATAAAGTTTCAAGCTGTCAAATGTTACAGTCAATTCACTTGGTTTATTCAAATTATTTTTTCAAATTTTTATTAGTTTTATTATAAACAAAAGAATTTTTTAAGCTACTAGTCACTAGTGGTGAATGGAAAGTTAACTGTGTACAAGCTAACAGCACCATTTCAGAGCAGATATATGCTCAAGCTGTAAGACTATCGCTTAAATCTATGTTTAAACGCATAAAAATTTGTTTACGATTTTTCGCAGTTCTTCTAAGAATTAGTTTTAAAAAGGTATAGATGATAGAAGGGAATAAAATATGTCTTGGAACAGTAGAACTTCCATTGTTGTTGGCTTGTAGGTTCCCTACAATAACAAAGTATTTTGTATTACGCCTTTTGTCATCCACTGTCATTTAGATTCCCTAAGGACTTTCTTCTTCACGCAACATCCTAACAATATTCTATACTAACTACTATTGTTTTTTAATTTGAATCTAAATCTTTACTTCATGGAGATTTATTACAAAATAGGTTTGGCGCTAAACAGTAAATGACCATTTTAGATTAATGATCTTATCAGTGTTTTCACCAGATGATATTTAATAGTCATGTATTGCAAACTTAAACATTTATTGCACTAGTTTCTTACATTAACAAGATCAATTTTTTTGTCATTAATGAAGGCGTGTCAGTTTGAAAAGACGTTGGGAGAGTACAAAAAGTCTCCTGTTTGAATGGATTCACTTTTGTTTGAAACATTTTATCTACTACTTCACCACTTTTTCTGCAAGTAAGGCAAATGAAAACGCAACAGTGAGCATTTACAGGAAAGCTACTAACTTGTATAATCACACTAACAACCTTAAAGGGATGCCTCTTTTTCTGAACTTTGTTAGACTAACTGAATAACACATATGCAAAAAATAGCAGTATTATAGAGATAGAGACTATCAACGAGTACTGCCCTGCTTTTTCATTTTTCAAATGCTGGTTTATACTACCACTTGCTAAATTCAGTGATAGAACAGATGAGAATAGAATTTTAAGATAATTTATTTTAGTTACGCGCTCGATTAGCAGCCAACTCTTTTTCTTCAACTGTTTTTAACGACTCTTATGTGGTGGCAAATTTTAAAAAAACTTAATTCGCAAATCATTTACTTAATCTTTAATTGTTTTCTTGCTACTGATTTGGTAAGTGTTGCTTCGGTAAAGAATTTGAATTACAATGTCAAAAAATACCGTGTTTATATTATCACTTTTTCAATTTACTTTGTGTCATTCGAACTAACTGCTGTTTTGCGTGTTTATGTAATTCCTGTTTTAGGTACACGATATGGTTTAGCTTGTACTAAAAAAGGTGTTGAGGAAACTACTGGCGCAACCACTGTGTCGCTTTGTTCCAGTTGTTGGGTATGGCGTGAGCTACCACCAAATTATTTTCCCAGATACATTAACGAACTGATATGTGATGAGTCAGATAACGCTTGTTTATCCGGTAAGTAGAAAGAAACATTTTTATTTTGGTACTTGTAGGTATATTATTTTGAAAAAAGCACAGGAAAATTTAACTTATTGTTAGGCTATGCTACTTGTACGCCAGGCAATCGCAACTTGGAGGTGCTACGAAACGACACGGGTGTAATGAATCTAGTTTCACTTACTGCCGGCACCTATTGTGAATGTAAAGTTTCTGTAAGCAATTGCCTAATTACCATATGATTGACCGTAAAAAAAATTTTCGTTTCAAACAGCAAACGTTGTGAAACTTTTCTTTAATTAGTGGTGTTGAAAAAAATAAAATTTTGTATTTTACAAGTTAACAGCATTGTAGGCTTTAGCGCCTCTTACTGTAAGGTACCAGAGTTTTTTTTAAAATGTTGATGTAACTCTTCAAAGAGCAACATTGCTGTTAAGTTTCTAAAAATTAGCTAGTGTAAGTTTCATGTTGAGCTTGGCAGAAGGTTAATGTGATTTTCATCTGAGTACTATCTTTTTTGATCATGATTACTTTTCGTCAAAGCTTGATATTTGATTTTTTTTTTCTTTCAGCCGCACTCTGCCTTATACAGTCTGGTGCAAGGTACAGGCATATCGGAATCACTACCGCCACTTTAAACTGAAGCAGTTCTGAAAATCAATGTATTTGAACATAGAAAATGAAAAACTAAGTATACTTATATTCAGGAAGACACTTATTAAAAATCTGAACATCACTAGTTTTAGTCGCTAAAAAAATAATTTTATCACAATTAGTTATTGTATTCTTCTTAATTAACCTTTTTAATTGCTTTTTTTCGTGGAGACAAAAAGTTGACTTTGGTGTACGAAAAGTACTGTTAGCTTTAATGTCGTTAAAAAACAGAAAAAAATTTGATGTTTTTTCCAAAGAAAGTTTTTTTTACAACTTACTGTTGAACAGAAACAGAATCTCTGTTTTGTGCTACACGAGCAATTAGTGGAACTGGAACGAAAGTCAAAAGAAACGAAAGCAAAGTGTAATTTGTTTGATAATTATACTACTTGCAAAAAAAAAAATTGTTGTTGTTATTCAGTAGTTTTGTTCATTTTGATCGTCTTTTGTCTTTTATAATATTTAGTTTAAGAAAAGAACAAAACAAGAATAGAAAAGATAAGGGAATATTTGTTAGTGTTGTTGATTGAAAAATGTCACCAACCATAATTGGCCTTTCTTAATTGTCATTTCAGTTCTGCTTAATAAGCATCTCTGTTGTGTGTTTTTTAGATGTGCATATCTGATAGATGTATCTCAATCTTTGACATTCCCACCTCAAATCAGTTGATATTTTTTAGCGCTATTTTTAGTGGAAAAAAGAGCGACCAAAAATGAGGTTTATGTACATAGTGTATATATGATATCATCTTTCAAGCCTTTTCAATCTGCATAGCAGCTTAAAAGTGTTTGTTTGGTATCGTTCAACTTTTTATGAGTCATCCAATTTATTGAATTCAGTGTTACTGTAATGTATTTCCCATCAATATTGCTTAAATCAAATAGATTTTAGATTAAAACATGTTAAATTGTGACAGTATTTCTGACAAACGGTTTATACTTGTGCGTTGTGGAAGATTCGCTGTTAATGTTTTCATGTCTAACTCGACCACTTGAAAGTTACTTCTGCATTGTTTGGTTAAATACAGTTTGATGTGAGACCGTGGTAGCTTCTAAACCTATGCCACTGTTCAGCACTTGTATGGTGAAATACACAGGTTTTCTTTCACCAAATTTGTTGTCGAAAAGCAAAAGCAGCTCTTTTTCTTCGTAGTGTTAACCTGATCGGTAACAGTATCGTCAAATTGGTAACAACGAACAGCTAAGATAACATCAAGAAAGGCATACTGTCAGTGATTGATATCACTATCAAATGGCTAAGTAAAATTAGTACACTGATGCCATTTTTCAATTGTCAACCTTGTCGAAAAACTAATTCTTTCTTCACTAATAATTAACAGAAAGTCGTAAAACAATTCTCATAAATCAATCTTTTAAATACCATACTTTTCAAATGCCAGAAAATGTCTGACTCTGACTTAAATTGACTGTTCCAAATAAAATGTTGTCACTTTTTCTGTCTGTTCTAGATTCTTAAATAATACTTTTGAGATTTACTCTTATTTACTACAACTGAACTGTACAAGTTTAATGTTTCCACCAACAAGGTTCTGTAAATTTACTGTATCGTTTACTTCGTCATAAAGGGAAATGGTTTTGGAATGCGGGTGGGGAAAGGCACAAGTATATGGTGCTGAAAAAATGCATGACTGCATAACACTCGCCCTATTTGAAAGTGTAAAGAACAAATTGTTTGAAACCTCATTATTGAGGTTAATGCCTACGCATTAATAAAAATTCCAAGAATGTATTTGTCTTTAGTTTATTAAGCTGTAGTCTTTATTTTAGGTATAAAATATTATATTTAAATAACCTTTAAAATAACAAAAATAATTCTTGAGTGCTAATAGTAATAAGAATTCTAAAATGCAGTCAAGCACTAAAAATGGCTTTCAAAATACTAACCGTATAAATTTTTTCTGACACTGACGTAATTTCGTTGATTGATTTATTTATTTAGACATTACAAAACATACCTTTACAATATAATCAGGAACGATACAACTGAGAAGAAAAACAAAATAACTAAAAAAATGACATTGACATTTAAATTCCAATGGTGGTGCAACTACTGTTGGGAGCAGATTCTATTTAGAGAGCCGAGATGAGCCGTTATGTATATTCAATATGTTTCAGAGTTTAAAATCTGTTTCTCAAAATTATATTTCATTTAAAAATACATTTGCAAACTACTTGAAATAATATTTTAATGCTACAAGAGATTTTGCTGTGATTTGTAATCCACATTACCAATTAGAAGCTAGTACTGAAGATTTGGTAATTTTCTTTTGCTGTAACCTTCAAAATCAGCAAGTTTATAAGATTCAGAAAAAATCTGCACGTAGCATTTGAATGTCTAAAACGGTAGTTTATTTCAACCATCAAATAGAATATTAATTTGACTATGTACTGAAACTTAGCGAAACGTGCGTCACATTTGCTGGAATTTTTATCAATAGCATGCCACGAGTGGAAGACATGGTTTCTAAGAAGGTTATTATCAACAAATTTTGTAAAGGCTTTTTTTTGCAAAGAAACAACTATCAAATCATAAAAAACATCGCAATCTGTAAGTAAATTTCATGGACCCTTAGAGTAAAACGTTTGTGCAAACGGTCGTTCATTTTTTGAATAACAAATCATTGTTTTATTGCATCTCCCGCAAGTTTTTAAATGCTAAAAAATTTAGCTTATTGTATTACAATACATTGAAATGTGAAAAAAATTTCATAATTTTGAATATAAAAATGATTTAAGACTTTTCACCCTTTATTTTGATGCAAAAAATTTTGAGAATTTTACGCTTCATAAGAAGCTTTATCTTCTCCTGCAAATATGCTTTGAGAGTAGCAACTAAAAATTTATTACCTACCAGATGTTCTACTTGTATATTAAGTTTATTAAACCCGCTATAAGTGCTTGAAAACCACAAAGATGCATACGTTTGGTAGACGTATTTAAAAGGGAACGAAGTTAGAAAAAAAAATTCAGAGATCTCTTACGAAATGCAATTTTACAAATGAAATTAAACTTCCTCGCCAAAAACGCTTCC